AWWAKMGCGSSGMKATMKYGTGAGGAAAGTTCAGTGGAACCCAGTTTCCAAATAAAATCTAGGATRCTGTCACAAAATTTATGAAAATAAATTAATTTAAAGCCGTTAATATGGTCACGCTGCGTTTCTACAAGGCTTGGGGTGACCCTAAAAACCGCTGTCAGACAGTTGACCAGACCGTGACACGTATGCAAATTCATATTTGAGTTCCGAGAACAGTCATTCAGCGTYGCTTTTATTACGTTACAGCAAACTGTAGTTGTCTTGCGAAACAATGGCCGCTGATGTTCCAGCTAAGAAATTGCGCCTTTCAGGCGAAGCAAGTGAGCAAGGAATGGAAAACGATGAAGAAAAGAAACCGATGCAGCCACTAACTCGAATCCTCCAACTAGATCTTTCGAAATACAGTGCAAGTATTCAAAAGATGACTGATGAAGAACTCTTACAAACCTTCAATATTGGAGTTGCTGTAAAGGAATCCTTTACCCTATCAATTCTTGAAAACAGTTCGTTTGTCAAGGAAGAATTGGGCAAGCAAATGAACCCAATTCATAATGAAATGAAGAATCTTCCTCTGRCAGTSGAAAAGGAYATGTTGAAAATACGTGACATGGTAGGAGAGAGTCTGTTAGCAAACAATACCGAGATGGCCAGACGAGTTGATGATTTAACTACAAACCTTTTGAATAACATATATTCTGTATCAAGCAAGGTTCTACCAGTAGCAGASATGGAAAYACGGATCAGTAACAGTGTTARGGAGATGGAAATGCGAACTGGTCGTCGCATGGAAGCAATTACTGCGAAAATTGATGGATTAGCTCAAGAGTTCCAAAAACCTGCAAAAAAAGGAATAGTTAGTGAGAACACAGTGCATTCTATATTAACAAGGAACTTTCCTCACTTCACTTTCAACGATGTCTCCAGAGAAAGAAGAAAGGGAGACATTCGTTTGTCAACTNTATTTTGGTTCCAGGGAAGTTTACTAGGAACGCCCGACTACGCAGTAGTTTCTTTACGATTTTGTAACTCCAAAAGAGAGTCTTGGTCTTTGTTTTCTATGAAGCCAAGCTCGTCACWTGTTCAGCAAACAATATGACCAGCCTCAGAATCTTCCAGCTACCGCGCCTTTCAGTAAACTCATGAATTATTGATGGGGCGCGGTCGTTGCACCAGCTCTATAWAA